AATTAATTAATTTACCGTTACCGCCGTAGCTGCACCTGGTCCAGAGGCCGAATCTTCCTGGATTCTCGTGTTCCAAATCGCCCAGCCATTCAGGCGTGACGAAGGCAACCACTCCGATTATAGCGTAGCATATGGTGAAAATGCCCCAAAGGACACCGATCGCCTTCGAGTTGCGAATGTAATTCGTCGCGTACATGTGAGAGGATTCCACGTACTCTATCTTCGAGCCCATGTTCGTCGAATGTACTTCCTATCGACGAACAAACAGTAATTTGTTGCTCGCCAGAATATGGATATTATGATAAAATGAAAATCAACAATATGATGAGATATTTTTTACACGTATAGAATTTAGACGTGTGAAAATATTTGTAAATAACGTATATACATAGCGATAGTACAGAGGAAAATTTTAGTTCTCTGATTCTCGTTTCGTAACAGGGTGAGCCAAAAATCACCCCCTGCTAAAATAAATCCGTATTAATTTTATCAATTCGCGGACGCTCTGACGGTCAACGTTCGAAGGAAGTAATTTGAAAATCATGTTTGAGCTTAAATTTGACTTAAAATTAATAATATCAGCTGTTTCTTATATTTCGATTATTCTTTATTAAGAAAAAAATAGGTAGGAAGAAACTTTTGGCCCACCCTGTAGAATCATTGCGAAGACGGAAACACGTACTACACATGTACTTCCTTCGCGAGAAGGGATTTTCAACGTTTTCCTCGTCGCGATTTCGCGGCTTTTCGCCGAGATCTAAGTGCGCATTCCCACGTTAAATCGGTGTCAGTGCCGCCCGTGGCATTTACATCGGAACGTTCACCTAGGAAGGGTACAGGACACAGCCCGTATTTTATTCTTTCGTTTTCTTTTCGCAACGATCTATCGATCAGAACGTAACGAAACACGACTCGTGTTAACTCGTGTTGTTGTTTTTCTTACGGGGAGTGGTTCGATCGGTTACGGGGATTATTTTTTTTTTGCCCCCCTCTCGAATTACAGATCAAATGTCAACGTCCGTGTCGTAAGAAACACTGGCAGAATTTGCTGATTGTCGAACACACATGAAAAGGCGGACGCGCGTTTCGGATCCACGTACGAATTTAAAATCAAAAAACCGGCTCGTTAATCACGATGTCGTCATGCAAAAATTAACAACTAAAGTGCACGATATTACGAGAAAATAGAAAGAATCGGAACTTCTTCTCTCTCGAGATAAATTGAGATTGCATTAGAAAAAGGCTATAATAACAAAGAAATTATAATTGAATTCCAGTATACGTTGTAGTATATGTAAGAAGTGATCAATTCGATCCTCGACGTACCTTCTCCTACCCTTTGTTAAACACCGCTCGATGCAAGTACCTTCGAAGACATCTATCTTCGAAATTGTCAAACACCTAACTTCACCAGTTCACTGAAATCCTCGAAGGAACCTTCACCTCTCTTCGATACACTAGACAAATTTATTCCTCGTACAGAAACAGGGAGGAAACCGACCGAAATCTTCGCCTCGAAGGAAGGAGAGTTCGTTCTACGCGTGAACGTATAGGATCAACGAGGACAGAGAGACACAACGGTCAGTCGGTTTGAATTGGTTCACATAGTCGCTAGTAGCTACGAGCCGACGCGGCTGACACTTCGACTAGTCGAAAATACGTCTTAAGAAGGACAAGCTGTAACAGCGCGACGTGTAGTGAGTCAAGATGGCTGTTCAGGTGAACAGAGGTTGCCAGATAGTTGGACAGGAGGGAGAGCTAGCCAGTGAAAGAATGAGGCGAGTACGGGGACTGTGAATGGGGGCCTCTTTGCGGGGCCTGAGCTCGAGAGAAAGGCTCGACGTCGCTGCAGAATCAAAACGTGGATAGTAGGGATTCGTACGTGGGCTTTTGTTCTTAAGCCAGTTCCTGTTTACGTGAAAAATAAGATAAATAAGTAAATGAATATATATCGTTCGCGGCAAATGAGATATAAAATATATTATTTAAAAAAAAATACCGAACAAATGAAAGAACTTGTTCAGCTTTCTTTACGTGTACTGCATGTTAAAAGCTTTCGCAATATCCGTGATGTTACTCATGACGCTATCGGTCCGTTATTTGTGGCTTTCAATGGATGAATACAGAAATGTATTGAGCGTTTGAAGAGACTGAATTCTGAAATGCGAAAGGATGTTTTAATATTAATCTGAGCAGCTTTCGAAACGAGATGTACATTCCTTCACACGAGATAGCGGATTTCTTCGCGATAACAATAATGCTCGCTGAATTTCTCAGTTCTGTCGCATGTACGCGTGTATTTTTGTTTTTCTTTTCTTCTTTTCGAGGCACGTTCAAGTACAATTAACTGTAGTTCAACAAAGAAAATTCTTTTTAACTTTTACCACGAGTTCTGTTATATCATCTGTTTTGAGACACCCTGTATACTTGACTTTGATCCAAAAATATTAATGTAAATAAATAAATGAAGATATCTATTAACACTAAAACAACCGTATCAGAATCTATAGGTATGTTCTACCTATAAATTATACCTATAATTTAAATGATAATTCAGATAAATAGAACAATCATGTTTCTGTCAATAGAAATTAATATTAATTCTGACAAGAATACTCGGTATCTTTCAAATAATTGTAAAAAATGAAAGTCTGAAATCGGTCACACTGATAAGATGACCGATTGTTAGGTGTTAAAGTAAATAAAATTGTACAATTGTTTGTAAAACTAAAATATTGTAATGATATATAATTCTAGTAAATAATATCTCTTACACGTAACTCTCATTTCAAACTTTCCCGCCGGAAAAGTAATAAAAAAAAAATCTCATACTTAAGATACTATCAAAAAATCACGAACTAGTGACAAGAATATTCAACAATACCTTGACATACGAATGTAGATTTTGTAATACTGGATCGATTTTACGTTTCAGTAAAAGTACGCTACTTTTTTCGCTTTTACCTCTGCAATTTTGAAAGTTAAGTGTCTAACAATAAGAAAAGATTACGGTTACTTACTTTGGAATTAATTTTTTCAGCTTCTTAATAGTTTCGTTCTTAATTAGTTCTTAAATATCACCGTAGAATATATTTCTTGATATAATCCTTTTATCCTACAAACATTTGAAATGAAAAATGTGCTCGATTTGTATTTGTATCAATTAAACAGGCTGACTCGAGCGAATGAACTGGTTCAAGAAAATTCCCTATGAAGTGCATTCTGTTGCCAATCACCACCTGTGTTATTGACACTTTACCGATTGCAATTTGAAAATGGCTAATCGAACGGTGAAAGATGCGAAATCGATTAGAGGTACAAATCCGCAATATTTGATAGAGAAAATAATTAGATCCCGAGTGTACGATTCGAAATATTGGAAGGAAGAATGTTTCGCTTTGACTGCAGAACTTTTGGTGGACAAAGCCATGGAATTGAGGTTAGGAAATGTTTATTACCGAATAACTGCAAATTGCAATTTTCATTTGCGCGATACATCGTTCAATTGCGTTTATTATGGCTTCACGTACTTGCAACTCGTGTTGCATGCACATATTTGATACCTTTAAATAATTCAAGTAACCTACAAATCAAAACATAACCTACAATTGCGAACTAAAATGCTATTTCAGGTTCATAGGTGGTGTATACGGTGGAAATGTAAAACCAACGCCATTCCTCTGTCTAATATTGAAAATGCTCCAGATACAACCTGAGAAGGATATTATAGTGGAATTTATAAAAAACGAGGAATTCAAGTACGTTCGTGCATTGGGAGCATTGTATATGAGACTGACTGGGTCTTCTTTAGATTGTTATAAATACTTGGAACCATTGTTCAATGACAACAGAAAGCTCAGGAGGCAGAACAAGCAAGGTAAATTTGAATTGATCCACATGGATGAATTTATAGATGATCTCCTTAGGGAGGAAAGATGTTGCGATATCATTTTACCGAGGATACAGAAAAGGCACGTTCTGGAAGAGAATAATGAACTAGGTAAGTTTAATTTGCAAGTTAAATTTGTGAATGCTCAAACAAAAGATAAA